CAGGCGCAGAGGCAGAGGCGCTAATGAGGATGAGTCAGCACTGACATCCCAGCTGGTAAACGCAAGCCTCATTACCTTGGGTGGTTTTGCACAGCGCCCAGAAAGCTTCCTGAGCTTTTAGTCTGCGGTGACTTTTTGGTTCCCATATAGGAACCGGGAATTAAGAGGGAAAACCCTCAGCGATTAAGATTTCTTCAGCCAGTTTTCTCAGGGAAGGAACCAGAGTAATCGCAGCCCCCTGGAATTCCGAATTAGCCATGCCCCTGAGCTAGCTGGGAGATGACAAGATTTCCACTGTCTTGCAACCAAACTCTTTCTAGTGGAGCAGGGTAGTTGAGGAGAACTTGACTTCATTATTACTAACACTTGTGGAATAAATAGACATGCATCTTTTTATTAGATGCCTTCTAAATAAGATGTTCACAGAAGAATACCAAAATGTTGTGGACAATCGTAGTCCAGTGAGAAATTTACGTCTCTGAAGATGACTGATAATGTAAGTGTGTGAATACCAATCTGCTGTAATGATACCTGGAATGTTGAGTTAGAGCTTTCACTTCCCTGAGTCTTATCCCGACCACCCTTTAACAAAGAGTTTAATCTACCTGTCTCTTATCACCTGCTTCAAGGTTATTTTTTTTTCCTCCATAGTACTTTTTACTTTGTAATATATGGCATAATTTGTTTATTTATTACTAGAGGCCCGGTGCACAAAAATTTGTGCACTCGGTGGGCGGGGGGAGGGGGATACCCCAGTCCGGCCTGTGCCCTCTCGCAGTCTGGGACCCCTCGGGAGATAACGACCTGCTGGCTTAGGCCTGCTCCCGGGTGGCAGAGGGCAGGCCCAATCCCTAAGTACAGCCCCTGGTCAGGCTCAGAGCAGGGCCGATTGGGGAGTTGGGGCGCCGCCCCGTCATGCACAGAGCAGGGCAGATCAGGAGGTTGAGCCGATTGGGGGGTTGGGGCACCGCCCCCTGTCACACACAGAGCAGGGCCGACCAGGGGGTTGGTGCGCCACACCCTGTCAAACACAGAGCCGCAGGGCAATCAGGAGATTGGGGAGCTCCCCCCTATCAGGCACAGAGCAGGGCCCGTGGGGGGGGGTGTGGTTGGGGCGCCGCAGCCTGTCACACACAGAGCCGCAGGGCGATCAGGGGGTTTGGGCGCTGCCCCCTG